GCAGGAGAGGGGACCCGGCGCGTGGAGGTGGGGTCAGGTCCTGTTTTCCAGGTAGTTCTGAGGCTCGGCCCCCTCACTGCACACCCGCGCTTCTGGTGTCTGGGCTTTACTGTTCAGCTCCCCAGGCAAATTGTCTGGGCTTTACTGTCCAGCTCCCCAGGCAAATTCTCCAGCCCCTTCCCCCCTCCTCCCCCACTGATCAGAAACTGCTCAGGTATGTCCTCTGGGTGCTTCTGAGGCTGTCCTGGGTTAAGAACCAGTGATCTAATAAAACGCTGGAGCTGTGAGGGGTTTGAACTGGGGCTGGGGCCAGCCAGGCGTCCTGTGATGCAGCTGAATCATTCCTTGCAGTCTTCACAACTCTTTTTGAAGTAGGTGCTGTTATCATTTAACAGATGAGGCAATGGAGGCGCAGAAATTTAACTTTCCCAAGGACACACATCTAGGAAGAGAAGCTGAGATACCAAGCTTTATGGCAGGCTCCAAAGCTCTCCCATTGAACCAGGTCACCTGTGAAGGGAGGGGGGAGCCTCACAGCATCTTGACACCCCTCCCCTACCCCCCCCCCATGGTCAGTAATGGCTTGGCCTCCCACTAATTTACATGAGGTACTAAGTACCTGTCCCAGAGCACTGGGGTGCCCAGAGGCCTGGGATCCAAGGCTGGCTCACACCCCCCCTCCCCCCTCATTGGGTGAGGCAATGTCAGTGTCTTCCTCAGTCTGATGGGGACAGACTCCTCCTGAGGCATATAGAACAACAGTGACCTTGCAGACTCATCTGACTGGCAGCCTTGGTGGACCTTGGTCCCCTGCCTGGCTCCTGTCAAGGCCTGCTCCTGAGGGAGGGGCTGCAAGTAGTATGGCCCTTACAGAGATCTCCACAGTGCTGCCACCTTAACTGGGTAACCCTTTGTAGTGCAGGGCTGTCCTGTAGCACCTCCTCCCTGTTGAATCTCCTGGAGTGAGGGGGGAAAGCCTGGCTAGGACTCCTGCCCCTCCCTGCAGGCTGAAGGAGGGGTTTTCCTACCTCTACAGCCCACTCTCCTTACAGGAGCTTCCCTCACCAGCAAGCCAGTCCTCAGGACCTGGTTTGTCCATCTGTACTCATTTTTATCAACCCAAGTGACATTTGAACACATTCCCTTTACAAAACACTCCCACATTTCCGATGAATTGACCACAGTAAACTACCGCAGCATCAGAATCACCTTTGGCCACCATCCGGACGTGTGTGAGGTTCCTGCTGGACATTTANTACCGCAGCATCAGAATCACCTTTGGCCACCATCCGCACATGTGTGAGGTTCCTGCTGGACATTTCACATTATATACTGTGACAACTGTGGAAATCAGATTCTCCCCTCTTAGGGTTTCTTGTTATTGCTGTTTGTTGCAGTTGTTATTTGTTTAGTGACTTTTCTGAACTAATTCTTTAGCCTGTATTCTTTATTGTATGTGGTCACTGAAGTCTCTGCTTAGTGGTCAGGTAATGACTGGTTAGAGATTTCCTTGAACACCATGCCTGGAACCAGTAAGCCTCCTAGTCGTTGGCAAGGGGCTCTGTTTGCATGTGGGGAACACTTTTAGTATTCAGTCAGGTCATTACAACTCTGCCCTTGACCTTCACTTTCTGCCTTTAAATGAGCCGGGGGTGAGAATGCTTAGGGCCTTCTCAGGTATTTTCTGAACGTATGCTCAGCTCAATATGGGTGACCTTTTAGAGTCCCCGAAACGTATAGGAATTTTTACATTTGGCATCTCATTCCCCAGCTTTTCCTTTTAGGTTTTTAGTTAGTGTATTATTTATCCCAACTATTTTCCTAGGGAAAAGTCTTCTTACACTAAATGACCTATAAGTCAGGTAAAATACAGACTGTCTGCAAGTTGCATCTTCCAGTGAACCACCTGATAGGTCAAATCGTGAAAATTCTTTGGGAACGAGGCTTTGAAAAAGCTCTAGCCCATTCTATTCCCTCCATCTGTTTTTAAGGTTTTTAAGGCTGCTGCAGAGGGGGAGAGCAGGGGGTGGAACTAAGGCAGGTTCAAACATTGTGGACATTACAGTGTAGCTGTTCTTGCTGAGATTCAGCATTTTCTCTTGAATGAATCTGTGTTGCTGCAAAAGTTCTGAAAAAGTTGCTTCTGACAAGTTTCCTGTTGATTTAATGGAGAAAATTTTGAGAGGTCCTTATACCACCAGTTTTGCTGGTTCCAAGTCATATATTTTAATGCTCTCTCTTGTATGTTTTTTCCGCCTCAAACATGTGCATATTAAATTAAAAAGTTTGTAAATTTGGGTTGTAGGAGGCCATGTGGAGCAGGCACCAAGTGAAGGGCTGTGGATTGACCGGAATGATGCCAGCCTCTATTAGAAGGGCCTGAGTACTTACAGGTTATCAGCCTCCTTGGGGGTCAGGAACTGTGCCCTACCATCCCTGATGCTTTGTGTCTCCCAGGTTAAGGCTGCCAGGGGCTCACCTGTGCTCACATGGATGGGACAGAGACCCGACAGCGGAGGCCAGAGGAGCTAGGGCTGCCACACACCCTCAGCACAGGAAGACTCCCTGCAGCCTCAGAAGATGGACCTCCGAGTGTCCCTGAGAGCCAAAGGGTGGCCACTAAACTACTGGAGACTGAACTCAGCAGGGAGACTGCCTTATCCATTGGCTTTCAGGTGACAGTGCCCTTCGTGCTTGCAGGCCTGGGACTGTCTGGGGCTGGCATACTTTTGAACTATTTCCAGGTAAGTGGGAACTAAGTGCGGATGATGGTATTGGGGGCACTGCCTAATGTCACCCTAAAGAGTGGGCAGCTACATGTAGGGCCCAGCTGGAGGAACATCAGTCTCCAAAAATTGACCCTGATGTCAAATGTCCACTCCTACTCCAGTTATTGTTCCCTGAGGGGTGGCATTCTCAGTTTGGCCAGCCTGACTTATGGTGTCATCACTGACCAATGATACCTCCAACCCAGGATGTTTCCAAATTCCTGCCAGATCAGCTTTGTCCTCACGGCCACATCATGTCCAGAGAGATGAATGACCATCTGTTCTGGTTCCTCCTTCTTAAGCACAAGGATACTTCCCTAGGAGCCCCCAACAGAGCTCCCAACTTTTCACGGGCCAGCTTTAAGGCATGTCCCACTTTGAAACCAGACACTGGCAAAGGGAACGGAATGGCCATAATTGGCTTGGCCTGATTGAGCTGAGCAGAGGAGAGGGCCACCGATCCCACAGGCGGGTTCCTTTGTGCAGTTGGGTTCTGTGGGGAAGGAGGGAAAGGGACAGTGGTGCCCCACTGGCTGGGCACCAGCATGGCTCCCGTCTTGCAGCTCTGCCCAGCCAGCGCTGGCTGCCCCTCCCTGTGCCCTCCTTCCTGCCAGCCCTGAGGAGAGCCCTCCGGTGGCCCTCCCTGACCCAGCTGCACAGGCGGTCTCATGGAGCCTTTGCTGCCAGCCCAGCGTTGCACCTTCCTGTGAAGCATCGCTTCCACAGCTGATAGGACATTTGCCGCTTCCTGTTACCTTATGCATTGATCTAACCCTCTGCATGGTTTGAATGTGACCTACCTGAGAGTGGAGGCTGCACCTTTTTTTTATTTTATTAAGGTTTTTTGTTTTTTTTTCTGGAAAAGGTAAAACATTCATGTGGGTTAGTGTTCAAAAGTTTCACAAGTGTGCACAGGGACAAGGCTCCCCAACCTACCCAAGACAAGCACTGGGCCCCAGGGGTTGTGTTTTCTCCTGAAGATATTTTATGCATGTACAAGCAAGTATCGACATCTGTTCATCTGTCCCTTGTGCCTTTTCTCACCCTTTTACCCAAGTGGTGGCATATATAAGCTGTTGAGCTGTGCTTTTTCACTTTCACTTTACAGTGTTTCTTGGAGATTGTAAATCATCGATATATTGAAAACTTCCTCTCTGTAATGGTTGTTTAGTATTTAGTACATGTACCAGAATTTATTTAACCATTTCCCTCTGATGTGCTTTTAAACTTAACAATGTATTTAGTTCGCTTAGGCTACCGTAACAAAGCACCACAGACTCAGGGGCTTAAACAGCAGAAACGTATTTCCTCACAGTTCTAGAGGTTAGAAGTCCAACTTGAAGGCATCAGCAGGGCTGGTTCCTTCTAAGGCCTCTCCCCTTGGCACATAGATGGCCGTGCTCTCCCTGTGTCTTCACATGGTCTTCCAAATCTATGTCCAAATTTCCTTTTCTTCTAAGGACACCAAACATTATGGATTAAGGCCCACCTTAATGACCCCTTTAAAGGCCTTACCTCCCAATGCAGTCATATTCTGAGGTACTGGGGGTTAGGGCTTTAATTTGGGGGGCAGTACAATTCAGCCCATGACAGTAACTTAAAATAGTATTTCTAACATGCTGCAATGAATAACCTGGACATTTTATACATGAGTAGGATAAACTGTTGCAAATGGAACTGCTGGGTTAAAGGGTACAGGCATTTGTCACTTTGATACACATCACCAGATCACCTCCCTTAGGGGTGGGACCAGTTATACTCCCTCACTCTAGGGAAATGCCTGTTCCCCAGCACCCACCAACATAGTCTATTTTCAGCCTCCTTGATTTTTAACAATCTGATTGGTGGGAAGTTCCATTTCATTGTACGCAGTATTAGTTTCTGTTGCTGTGTAACAAATTATCCCCAAATTTAGCCACATGAAACAGCACTCATTTATTATCTCATGGTTGCAGTGGGCCAAGATCCAGTTTAGATGGGTTTTCTGCTTCACGGCCTCTCATGAGGCTGCAGTCGAGGTTGCTAAAGCCTCTGTCTACAGTGAGTCTCTGAGGGCACTGATGAGGGTGCCTCTGATTTTAACTTGGACAGATTCTAGAGCCTCTTGTTGGAGGTGCTCATTCACAGCAGGCTGCTTTGCAAGTGACAGCAGCAGTGGGCATAAGTAAAATTTGTAGATGAGGACTGTGTTGCCTCCAGAAAGGACTAAAAGGACTAAAAGATGTTGGGCATTGTGGATGCTGAGAGGTCAGTTAGCTGTTTTTTGACAGTGTCGAGGATAGAATTGCCCTCAGTTTACCAAATAGCTTTTAGGAATTTGACCAAGGTGGCAAGTTGCCCCACGTATGGGATAATGGCTCTTCCTTTTTTGCGAGCTCCTTTGTGAGTATTTGGATAACCTTAATGGGTGTGCTCAAGTGAATCGTCTTGGAGATGGATGTCCACATGGTAATGTCAGACCTGTGCTCCTGGAGAAAGGTGCCTGCAGTTAAGATCTTGCCTGCAAAGTCTGTGTGATGGCAGAGCTGGTGAGGTTCCCCTTGAGAAGCCTGGAAAGGATGCATTGTGTCCCTTTGGAGCTGAAGATCAACTGTAGCTGAGAAACTGTTGAAATAGGCACTGAATAGAACATATTAGCCAAATCTGTACTAGAAAAATATTTACTGGTTGCTGATTGGATGGAGTTAGTAATCTCAATAACATTGGATATTGAGAATGGAGATCTCAGTGGATGGAACCACAGCATTATGGTTGTGGTCATCCATGATGAAGCACCCTATGTTTTTCCAGGTTTAAGAACAGGCCAAATTGGACTTTTAAAAGAAGAAGCAGTGGTGGTAATCACGCCTTCACTAAGTAGGTCTTGTATGAAAAATATCAATCTTTGAAGGGCTTTTGTTAGCTTACATTGGGCTGTATTAACTATTTTAACTGGGGGGTGGGTGTCCATGGAGTCCCACTTTGTCAGCCAATTTGTAAGTCAGACTGGGTGGCAGGAGTGCCATAGAGCACCTGCCAGACATAAACCATACCTGAGACACCTCACATCAGGATATGATCCGTTAACAATAGTTCTTGCCTTGGGGGGCTGGGCTGACACTTTAGAGAGGGAGGAGATGACAGTGCCCAGGAGAGACGACTGGAGGAGCAGGCTAGTGCACAAGCTGGCCAGCAATTAGTGTCTCCATGCCAGGCGGCCTTCCTTGTGCCAGGAGCTAGTTAGTCAGCAAAGAGCAATTAGTGAAAGCTGATCAGGAGTCCTGGGTCATGGCTGGGCTGTCCTGTTCCTGATGCCAGCTGTTGTTTTGATCGCCACTTCTTTACTTAATTGGTGAGGGAGGGATTCCTGCCCTAGTGTTATGGGATAAGCTGAACCCATGACCCCAGCACTGGACAGATGAGATCGCTGAGTTTTCAGTCACGTGTACTCACAGCCCGGGAGAGAAGGACACTGCCTGCCACTCAAGGCCACACAGGGGTTGTGCTTGGGAGCAGAGCAAATTGCCAGGGGCTGTGGGAGGCAGACTTTATAGGAACAATAGGGTGAGGTGCCCACTGGTTCGGTGGGAGGGTGAGATTGGTTTGTTTGAATAATCTTATGGGGCTGGCAGGAACTAAAACCCTGAAAGGGATAATCGGGAACTGTGCCTGGTCCTCCAGATAAGAAGCGTTGCTTAGCTAGGGGACCTTATCCACTGGAGCAGGGAGGAGACGGGAAGCTGCAGTTAGGCCATGGTTTCACCAGATGTCAAGGCAGCAAATCAGAATAATTTTAGGCTTTACTCACCCCTGCTGAAGGCCCACTGGGTTTCTTTTTCTCTTTGTTTCTGCAGTCTGTTTATTTGTTTGTTCATTTACTCACTCATTCATGCTTTCATGCAACGTGTGTGCACCATAAGCTAGCACTGTGCTGGACCCCGTGGTAGACACAACAGCCAGCCCCACTCACATGGCCTTCAGAATCGAGTGGGGAGAGACAGACAGTAGATGCATAAGTCAGTGTTAAATAGCAGTAAGGGCTATCACCAAAATAAAGCTGGGGGATATGCCTCAGCCTTGGAGAGGGAGGCCAAAGAAGGCCTTTCTCAAGAAGAGGTGCTGGAGTGAGGCCTGAGTGACATGAAGGAGCTTTTCCTGTTATTGAAAATGTAATTGGCTTGATTTCTGAGGACCTGACAGGGTGGGAAAGAAATCAGGCCTTTAAGAATGACCATTTGGCTCAGAATCAGCCAAGACTCAAGGTGACCCAGGAAAGAAGTAGGAGGCCCTTTGGAAGGTGTACTCCTGGGAAAATAACCAGTTCCCACTCAAGATAAGAAGTGAAAGCTAGGAATGGCAATATGCATTCCAGAGCCCTCTGCCTGCCCTCTGCACCTAACTGTCCTGCAAGGACACATTCCCTAAAACATCGGGGGGCGAGGGAGGGGATGACAAGTCGTCCTGATGCCACAGGCCCTGGGGATCTGGTTCATTGGTCTGCGCTGGGGTTGAGCTGCACATTTCAGGAGCTTCCAGGTAGTTCTGATGGCATTGTGGGCTGAAAACCCCTGGTGCAGTCCCACCCCTTATGTTGTAGGTCCGGGAGTGGCTTTGAGGCCCCTAAGGGGCAGGGTCTTGTTATAGGTCACCCAGAAAACCACCTGATGCTTGACCCAGATTCCACCTGCTACCTGGTACAGCCCCGGAATCCAGTTTAAGCTCTTTGAGATTTTTCCACTGTGCTACTGAACTATTTTAAAAATCACAGTCTTGATTTTTTTTTTTGGGGGG